GAGGGGCACTACAGGCACAGCCTAACTATGTCCTGCACTCCTCTTAGAAGCTGAGTCGCTGCACAGAGTTCCGCGGACGTGATAGAGGTGTGGAGGGGGAGGGAGAAGGAGTGAAAAGCAACATCTTCATACCACTGCTGGGCACAAGATGGGGGAAAAGGAGAGCCTGGAAGGACACTACTCACGTACACGTCACATACCCATCCTGCACCAACTCCTTCAGTCGAGACACCCCCGTCAAAGGCACCTCGTATCCCCGTTATTGTGATGATCTTCTGTTGACATTCTTTGATAAACCTCAAATCGAAAACTCGCTCCTGTCGTCCTCTCCTCGCATTCCAAGTCATCCGGTCCGCCCTCGTATTGCCTTCTCTGTGCACCCATTTCCAGATATCATGGCCTGCGCTCGGTGGAATAATGCCCGATGTCGTTGTAAGAAGATAGTAGCAAGTTAGATACCTCCGCAACTTCATTCATATAAGTAAGATTGCTAGTATTATATATGCCTGTCAGCCAATTCACAACCACTTGAGAGTCCCCACTTAACTCCATAGAAACATAACCTGGATAGAATTCCCAAGTGGACTGCCTTTCACATATTTTTGCCAATCTCCTGGAGGTCTCAATGTTCTTGGGGTGCAAGGGGTCCGTGGGCATCTCCTCGTCCTCCTCCTCCCTCACATATATGTCGTTGTTTTTAAGCACGAAATACGGTAACATGTGCTCGTAACTTTCAAGCTCTCGGAGCGCCTGACGGCAGGATTCTGTCCATCCTCTCTCCGACCACTGAAGATGGCCCCTCCACCAGAACTCACCTCCCACGGATTCGAAGATGCCAGCCCAGGAGTGGAAAGCCAGACGATGAGCACCGTTCGAACGACCGCCGCTGCGACTGATCTCACGAGCCTGCTGGGTTCCAAGATACTCGATCAACATGTCCATCGCCTGCGTCCAAGCAACATTTCCCACGAGCATCAGAGTGCGAGCCTGCAGGTGTGTGTTGAGGATTGCCGACTTCTCCGTCTTCAGGGCCCGCGGAGCAGGCTTGTGACCAAGATTTTCTTTTAGCCTCTGAGTGTTGCCAGAGAGTTGGGTCCTCGTTATTTTCAGACCAGCGCATTGGGTTGGGTCCCCCTCATCTTGACGACTCCTTTTGGCGCCTTGTCTCCCCATCCTCCTTCGCCTCCTTCATCATCCTCGTGTGTCGCTGTCGCCGATTCTCTGACATTGGGGCCTCCTCCTCCATTCCCTCCTGCATGCTGTTGATGTGTGGGGACGTGGAAGCTGTAGAAGGGCAGGGTAAAAGGGGTGGAGGTGGTGGAAGTACATGACATAGGGAATCCGAGATATCCTTCGCCCACTCCCACTGTTTGCGAAGTACTCTTTGAACGAGACTCTCTCGCCCTGTCCGATGAAGCAACGCTCTCCCTGCTCGTATCCTACGTCTCAAGAAGAGAGTCCAGTTTTCATCCCGTCGTTTCGACCGCCACAACATTTTGGCCAGTAACCCTTCCTCCCTTGCGTGGATGAACTTGAGGCTGTTGGAGTCTATCGTGGCCCCTTCGATACCATAAAGAAAGCACGCTTGCAGACGACTACAGTATCGAGCAATCTTTTTGCTGAGCGGCAGGGGCCGATCGTAGTAGTAGCTTTTATCACACCAGAAAGTTTTCTCAGCTAGCTCCCACCTGTGATGTATGTCATCATGCTCCCGAAAACATTTGTTTATCCTGACCCCCAAGACGTCCATGACATGCACGTGCGGTAATTCAACAGCTGGATCTATGCTATCAATAACCATGCTACCCTCAGCATCTGGCGATATAGTGTTCATATACATGAGCGACTCCTTTTTTCCAATCAAAACCGTGTCGCCTCAGCGCCGTCGTCATCTCTCTGATCATTATCTCCAGCTGGTCATCCGAAACTGCAAACAGGAATACATTATCAGCCCACAACATGTTAGTCATCTTCCAGTCGTTTGGCGCCCCAACTGTTCCCAGAGGGTACCCCAGGCCACGCTCAAACCATCCAGTACACACCGGTTCGAAAATCATGATGCTGACGAGAACCCACAACATTGGGGCTTCCATCGATCCAGTTCTGATACAACTATCCCAAGGAATATTGGACGTCTCGATCTCCTGAAAACGAAGTGTGGCCATGTTATTGGTATACCCTTCGAGCACTGCATATGCCAAATGCGGGTCGACGTTGGAAAACTTCATAGCCTCTGCCGCACAAGGTATGGTGAAATGGTCGAAGGCTCTGGCGACATCAAGTGACGCCCAAGACAGCGAGTACGATTTGCCCCACATGACCGAGTTCCCGGATGGTTACCGTGAGCTAGCTGAGAAAACTTTCTGGTGTGATAGAAGCTACTACTACGATCGGTCCCTGCCGCTCAGCAAGAAGATTGCTCCATACTGTAGTCTTGTGCAAGCGTGCTTTCTTTATGGTATCGAAGGGGTCACGATAGACTCCAACAGCCTCAAGTTCATCCACGCAAGGGAGGGGGGGTTACTGGCCAAAATGTTGTGGCGGTCGAAACGACGGGATGAAAACTGGACTCTCTTCTTGAGACGTAGGATACGAGCAGGGAGAGCGTTGCTTCATCGGACAGGGCGAGAGAGTCTCGTTCAAAGAGTACTTCGCAAACAGTGGGAGTGGGCGAAGGATATCCCGGATTCCCTATGTCATGTCCTTCCACCACCTCCATCCCTTTTACCCTGCCCTTCTACAGCTCCCACGTCCCCACACATCAACAGCATGCAGGAGGAGATGGAGGATGAGGCCCCAATGTCAGAGAATCGGCGACAGCGACACACGAGGATGATGAAGGAGGCGAAGGAGGATGGGAGACAAGGCGCCAAAAGGAGTCGTCAAGATGAGGGGGGCCCAACCCAATGTGCTGGTCTGAAGAAAACGAGGACCCAACTCTCTGGCAACACTCAGAGGCTAACAGAAAATCTTGGTCACAAGCCTGCTCCGCGGGCCCTGAAGACGGAGAAGTCGGCAATCCTCAACGCAGACCTGCAGGCTCGCACTCTGATGCTCGTGGGAAATGTTGCTTGGACGCAGGCAATGGACATGTTTATCGAGTATCTTGGAACCCAGCAGGCTCGTGTGATCAGTCGCAGCGGCGGTCGTTCAAACGGTGCTCATCGTCTGGCTTTCCACTCCTGGGCTGGCATCTTCGAATCCGTGGGAGGTGAGTTCTGGTTGAGAGGCCATCTTCAGTGGTCGGAGAGAGGATGGACAGAATTCTGCCGTCAGGCGCTCCGAGAGCATGAAAGTTACGAGCACATGTTACCGTATTTCGTGCTTAAAAACAACAACATATATGTGAGGAAGGAGGGGGACGAGGAGATGTCCACGGACCCCTTGCACACCAAGAACATTGAGACCTCCAGGAGATTGACAAAAATATGTGAAAGGCAGTCCACTTGGGAATTCTATGCTTCTATGGAGTTAAGTGGGGACTCTCAAGTGGTTGTGATATTAGCAATCTTACTTATATGAGTGAAGTTGCGGAGGTATCTAACTTGATTTATCTTCTTACAACGACATCGGGGATTATTCCACCGAGCGCAGGCCATGATATCTGGAAATGGGTGTACAGAGAAGGCAATGCGAGGGCGGACCGGATGACTTGGAATGCGAGGAGAGGACGACAGGAGCGAGTTTTCGATTTGAGGCTTATCCAAGAATGTCAACAGAAGACTATCACAATATCGGGTATACGAGGTGCCTTTGACGGGGGTGTCTCGACTGAAGGAGTTGATGCAGGATGGGTATGTGACGCGTACGTGAGTAGTGTCCTTCCAGGCTCTTCTTTTCCCCCATCTTGTGCCCAGCAGTGGTATGAAGATGTTGCTTTTCACTCCTTCTCCCTCCCCCTCCACACCTCCATCGCGTCCGCGGAACTCTGTGCAGCGACTCAGCTTCTAAGAGGAGTGCAGGACATAGTTTGGCTGTGCCTGTAGTGCCCCTCTCTCGGAGCTCCTGGGATTGCGAAACTGCAATGCGCCAGTTGTGGCAGGACGCCGAGCGGCGCTGACCCCAGCGCTACCAGCTCTGACCGCAAACCGCAAAAAACCGAGGTTGGGGGGAGGTTTTGACCCCCCTCGACCTAGGTTGCCGCTGGGGGCGAGTGGGGCTTCCCCCTCCCGGGGGTGCCGGGCCTCCGCCAAGCCCATCCTCGGGCCAGCGTGGTGCTTTTGTTTCTCTCGGATAGTGGCTCAAGCTTGGCATCGATTGCCCTGCCCTGTCGGGCAGTCTCGCTCTTGTTGCTGTGTTTGCTATACTGCTTATCTGCTATACGGTTCATCTGCTTTTTTTTGGTGTGGATTCAATTCGATCAGAAGTTGACCAATTTTGTTTATTTTGTGTGAAGATGCCACACGCTCGGACGCCCTACAGGAGAGCTGCCCTCGGCTTCTGCCCTGCCACGGTCGTGCGAGTTCCCCTCTGTTTGCAGTCCATGCTGCCGACGACTGAGGCGCTCGTTCTGGAACATCTTGCCCCTCCTGGGTTGTCGCTCAATGAGGAGAGGGAGACTGTGAAGAAACAGGGGAAGCGCTGTGCCCCGCCATGGAGCTGCCATACGCGTGTTGCTTCAATCTCCATTGCCCCTGTCTCGAGTACCGATTTCTGTTCTCAAACGGAAGGCGGCCAAACAGAAATTCCAATTCAAACGGATGGTGGCATTCATTCGGAAGTTTCGGGTCCATCTTCTGGGCGTGGTAGTTGGTTCTCCATGACATTCAGTAATGACGATGTTGGTATCTAGCCGTGCGAGGTGGAGGTGGAAAGGGAGGAGGAGGAGGACGCGCATCATAGTTGTCATACTCGTAGCTCTTCTGTTGCTCTGGGTACTCAGACGTGCGAGGAGGAGGTGAAGGAGGACGAGGACACGCATCATAGTTGTCCGCTTCGCATCTCTTACGGGTCATCATCGAGTTTGGATAGTAGTCTTGTTGGGAGTGCTTCGCATCACAATGATCCTTGTATTCGTTCTCAAGTTGCTGTTTCTTCTGTGCCAGTTGCAGTTCAGGTCGACCTGTGTACCAGAGTTGTCACAGCGCGCTTTCGGAGGACTCGAGTTGCAGTCCAGGCCGATCCCATCCCAAGTTCTACAGCTGCCGTTACAGAAGATCTGAGTTCTCATGTTGCCGTTTCTCCCGTGCCAGTTGCAGTTGAGACTGAATCTCCGTCAGCATTGCTTCGCCAGCATGAATCACGTCAGGATCGGTTTCAAATCCCGTCTGCAGCAGTTGGGAGTTCCGTGGTTGGGAGTTCCTCTGCAGCAGCTGGGAGTTCCATAGTTATGGAGAAGTGTCGTTGGACCAGTTCTGATGACACGGTGCCAGTCCTTTGGGAGTTTGCGGAGGTTCTGGATCTGGGTTCTGATTGCGGAATAGAACTCAGCTGTTTGTTGGATCGACTCCTCGCGCAGCTTATCGACAATAATCTTATGTCGGGCTTTCTCGAAGATGTGGACACCCTGATTCTTGCGCAGGGGAGGGGTGTTATCCCTGAGTCTCTCGTGAGGTTGGGAAGATGTGCGCCCAAGTTGCGCAACTTCATCCACCGTCATCCGTACTACAGGCATGCGTTCCCTGAATTGTGTGGTCTCTTCAGTTGTTCCTGAACTTGTGTGGTCTCTTCAGTTGTATTCAGTTCTGAGCGTCGCTGTATCCAGCGCATCCTTACACGTAGCATGGTCACGGTTGTTTTCTGCTTTCTTTCACCTCTTCCTCATTCTTTGTTGTTGTCTGATTCCCGATGGTAGTTGGCAGTGCCCTTTTTCTGTTCGAGCATGTGCGTTTTGTGATGTGAGCCTGCTTACCTGGCCAGCCGCTGTGCGTGTGCTTTGTACATCCTCTTCTCTATGCCTACGCCTCCTGGCTCGGCATTCCCCAGCAGATTCTGCGTGCCTGTTAGTTTGCGTTGGCTCCGTTTGGGAGCGCCTCTTGTGACAGAGGCATGGGTAGTTTGTAGTCTGGACGTGAGCCCCGTCCTTCCACGACTCCACGCAAACGCAAAAAACCGAGGTTGACGGTTTACCGCCGGCTCCCAATGTGAAGTTTGGGAAGAAGGTCCGCTTTGATTTCGAAGACATTGGACATCCAAATTTGGTTCCCCAGGGAGTGGTTCCAGATTCAATGACTGTTGCTAATCCTGATTCTTTGTTGGCGATGTCATCTGGGTCGGGCCCCCCCCCACCTGTAAGGTTGCGATCCCTTCGTGTCCCTTGAATGAAGCGGTACTTGTTCAAGCGATCGGTTTAGGCTGAGAGTTCAGCTTTCGGCAGTTCTTCTCATAGTTCAGCTTTCGGCAGTTTTTCTAATAGTTTGCCCTATAATTTGGATTTCGGCAGTTCTTTCGCAGTTCGGCAGTTCTTCTCAAAGATCTCACTTCTCATAGTTCAGCTTTCGACAGTTTTTGACAGGGCGTGCTGCAGGCTCACATGACACTAGATCTGCGGCAGGATCAGTGCCAACGGCGGCGAAATATGGGGCCAATCTTCTCCCTTTCGGCCCCATGTTGCAGAGGAAATGTTTCGCTCGTGCGTGGGATTGTTTCGATTGTGATCCGAGGAATCCGAGGGCGACTGCTCCAGTGATGGTGAGTTTGCTCACGCACAGGATTCTTGGGTTGCTGATTTCGTGTTGGCTTTCCTCTGTTGCTCTGAACTTCAAAAAGATCTTTTTGTGGACTCGTGGGCCTAACCTCTCCTTTGCGGATTCCTTCCTTCGATGTGCCAAAACGTCGGGTCCATGACTGAATGCGATTGGATGACCGATGACATTCGGCGAGGGGCAGTGGAACTCTGGGAGCAGTTGTTCGATCTGGTGCAGCCGATGTGGGATTTCGTTCAATGAGGGTAATTGTGTGCCGCTCTTTCATTCATTCTTGCTTATGTCCGGTCCGCCTGTGGGCTGGCATCGTGCTGGTAGCGGGACAGTGGATCTCTCGCCTTACAACTCTGCTCAGTGTCAGCGGGATGCATGTCCCACTTGAGTTGGTCATCTCTTGTGTCGTGGAGCTGCACTCCCCGTATGGAGACGTCTGCCTGCGAGCATCCCGTGTAGGATGTCCGCTGTTTCGTTTTTGGCGAGTCGTGGATCGCTCTGTGAACCTGTGACCTGAGCGAGTCTCGTCTCCGAGGCTCGTGGGCTCTGAGCACAGCAAAGCAATAAGCCAAGGTTGAGGCCACTTGGTCCTCGTGCGGGAGGGGCTCCGATTCGATGTGGCCTCGAAGCCAACGGAGCCTGGGCCAGCTGAGGGCGCTATTGAACCTCGTAGTGTGGGCCCGCGCCTCTCCCTGCTGCCGATGTGGGCTTTGGGGGCGTTGGCGGGCTGTGCGACGTTGCCCGCGACTCCAGGGCTCTGGGCCCAGCGTCCCGGGCTGCGGCTGCCGCGGGCCCTGCGGCGAGTTCCCGCGCGCAGGCCATTCGGCGGTGTTCTGGGGGGGTGGGCGGCTGCCGCGCGCCATTCTCGCTTCCAACGTGGGCCAGGCAGATCGTTCGCCCGCGACCGTTTCTACCGCCTGGCGATGGCAAATTACCTGAGAGCTCTTGTCCTGGAACCTCCTGGTCCGATAGTCCTTGCCGTGATGTGCGCATGGAGATTCGGTTTCTTGGTTCGTCGGAGGGCGTGGTGAGGTTGGATGCCTGGCCATCCTCGGATAGGGGCACGGCGGGCTCCAGCCGAGCGGCGTCGTGGCAGCTGCATGGGGCGAACCGCCGTGTATATCCCGCCCTTCAGCGCGGGTCCTTTGATGACGGCGTCGCAGGGCCAATCTTCTGTTTCCACCTGAACCGGACGCCTGGTCTTTGATTTTGGCCATGCTGTTGGCAACGCCCGGCGCCGTTTCGTCAGTCGTATTGCGACGGCGTCGGCGCCCGGCGGCAGCGCCCGCCGCCGCAGCGTGCCGGGTGGCCGAATGAGAACAGGCCGCGCCAGAGCAGCCGGCCTCCCCCCGACGAAGAGGTGCCGCGTGAGAGTCAGGCGTCGACGCGCGGTGAAGCGGGCGTGGGCCCCGACATCTACGATGTCCTGTGCGTCGAGGGCGGAGTAGTCCTTGCAGTGGGGCTTCAGAGGCGGATCCTCTTGTGCTCGGCCGGCTCCATGGGCGTCCAGATGGCTCGCCGCCTGGCTCTCTTCGCGGCGTTGTAGACGACCCAGGGCCCAGCGCTGGCGGTGCGCGGGACGCAGACGGTCCTGTGGGTGTGCGCTTTCAGGGCAAGGACGCCGGTGGAGTTCGGGGGGAGGCCGATGTCCGCGACGACCGGCCGCTCCGCTCCGAAGAGGGGCCCCCCGTGCCGTGGTCAGTGGTCCGTGACGTAGTGGTTCCAGTCGCCATGAGTCCTGAGCCAGACCGATTCCTTCTGAGTAGAGGGGGCGCCGTGGAAGCGTTCGATGTGTTCGAGCGCCAGGCATCCCGCCTCTCGGCCCTCCACTCAAGGACCTGGCCGCTCGCCCACGGATTCCCAAGTCGAGATCCAGGTCCTCCATCTCCCGATCCAGGAGTCGTCAGGCGGAGGAGGGTGTTGGTGGGTGATGTGTCAATGAGGAACACAAAAACAGACACAATTAATCGTCGATTCCCAGAAAAAATTGCGAAAAGGAAGTGGGGGGGAAGACGGACACCCAGAAAACATCGGTCAATCTGGGGAATCCTGGGATCTGTGTGTATTTAACGGTGTGTTTGTGGGCATCCCGTCCAGTGGAGGAGGCCAGTGGCTCGCGCGGCGCCAGCCTGGGAGTTTTCTGCCAGCGGCCACGACGCCGAGGGGTCTTGTCGTTATCGCCGTGCGCGGCCGACTGGTCGTGCTGTTACCCGTGCTCGGCCCTGGCGCTGCCAGAGCGGGGCTTGCGAGCGCTGCGGGCGGCCAGGGGCATGGTTTCCGCTTGCCAGCAGCCTGGTCGCCCACATCGCGCCCCAGAGATCCAACGTATTGAAATTCTTTACGCTTCGCGTATCCCCACCAGCCCATCTCGCAGCAGCAACTCTTGCGAAGCATGCCGACAGTCGTGTTTTTCATGCGTGTGTCCGCTTGGCCCCGCATATCTCCCCTGTTCCTCCTTCCCCCCGCCTCCTTGTACATCCTCCTTGTGGGGGGAGCGGGAGAAGGACGAGGCGGAGGAGGAGGGAGAGAAAGCGCTCCTCGTGGTGTGAGTCGTTTGGGGTTTCTCGTCCTGGTGTGAGTCGTTCGGGCCCTTCTTCCTGGTGTGAGTCGTTCGGGCTCTTCGGGGTGTGAGTCGTTCGGGCCCCTCGTCCTGGTGTGCGTCGTTCGGGGTCTTCGTCCTGGTGTGAGTCGTTCGGGCTCTTCGTGGTGTGAGTCGTTCGGGCTCCTCGTGGTGTGAGTCGTTCGGGCCCCTCGTCCTGGTGTGCGTCGTTCGGGGTCTTCCTGGTGTGAGTCGTTCGGGCTCTTCGTGGTGTGAGTCGTTCGGGCCCCTCGTCCTGGTGTGAGTCGCTCGGGCCCTTCCTTGTGTGTGAGTCGTTCGGGCTCCTCGTGGTGTGAGTCGTTCGGGCCCCTCGTCCTGGTGTGAGTCGTTCGGGCCCCTCGTCCTGGTGTGCGTCGTTCGGGCCCTTCCTTGTGTGTGAGTCGTTTGTGTGAGTCGTTCGGGCTCCTCGTGGTGTGAGTCGTTCGGGCCCCTCGTCCTGGTGTGCGTCGTTCGAGCGCCTCCTTGCGTGTGAGTCGTTCGGGCTCCTCGAGGTGTAAGTCGTTCGGGCCCCTGGTCCTGGTGTGAGTCGCTGGGGCCCCTCCTTGTATGTGCCTTGTTCTGGTGTGAGTCCTTCGGGTGTGAGTCGCTGGGGCCCCTCCTGTATGTGCCTTGTTCTGCCTTGTATGGCGCCTCATTCTGGTGTGAGTCGTTCGGGCTCTTCGTGGTGTGAGTCGTTGCGGCTCCTCGTCCTGGTGGTCGTCCTACGGGCGCCTTCTCCTGCTGGGAGTCGTTCGGGCGCCGCATTCTGGTGTGAGTCGTTCGGGCTCTTCGTGGTGTGAGTCGTTGCGGCTCCTCGTCCTGGTGTGAGTCGTTCGGGCTCCTCGTGGGGCCTCTCGGGGGCCTCTTGGAGACTTTTGGAGCCTCTGGGGGGCCTCTTGGGAGTCTCTCGGGGGCCTCGTGGGGGCCTCTTGGGGCGTCTGGGGGCCTCTTGGGGGCCTCTTGGCGGCCTCTTGGAGCCTCTTGGGAGCCTCTTGGGGGCCTCGTCCTTCCTTGTGTGAGTGCTTCGGGCCCCTCACTGTGTGTGAGTCGTTCGGGCTCCTCGTGGTGTGAGTCGTTCGGGCCCCTCGTCCTGGTGTGCGTCGTTCGGGGTCTTCGTCCTGGTGTGCGTCGTTCGGGCTCTTCGTGGTGTGAGTCGTTCGGGCCGCTCGTCCTGGTGTGAGTCGCTCGGGCCCTTCCTTGTGTGTGAGTCGTTCGGGCTCCTCGTGGTGTGAGTCGTTCGGGCCCCTCGTCCTGGTGTGAGTCGTTCGGGCCCCTCGTCCTGGTGTGCGTCGTTCGGGCCCTTCCTTGTGTGTGAGTCGTTCTGTGTGAGTCGTTCGGGCTCCTCGTGGTGTGAGTCGTTCGGGCCCCTCGTCCTGGTGTGCGTCGTTCGAGCGCCTCCTTGCGTGTGAGTCGTTCGGGCTCCTCGAGGTGTAAGTC